TGTTAACATCCATGTCCAAAAAGTTCTCAAATTAATTATGTGGGTGCTTTTATGTGTATTTGATCTTTTTTATTTTTGACTCTGTGTGTTTCGTGACATTTAATGTAATTTTATTTATTGTTTCTGAATAAAATATTTTTGTGACTCCTTTTGTTTTATTTGAATTATTATATTATATTTCTACAGGTGTCCGAGAAGACTTGTACAATGGACTTCCACAGATTCGTTGGCAAAATTATAGCAAACTTTTTTTAAGTATACTTTATTACTATAAAAACGCACACTATTGGTCGAAGCAAGTAGCTTATTTATTATTGCGTCGCTGTGTTGTCAATACACAGTTCATTTATGTTAGTTTATATAGAAATACACTCTTGAAGTATTTTACTGTAAACACGATATCAAAATCAACTTATAAATAAAAAAATAATGAATATAATTATTAATTACCACTTATTTGTACCAGAAATAATAATATGAATCGATAAATTACAAATTAGCAAAGGTTTGTTTTGAATACGAAAACAAAATAATAGAAATTCTCTCCAAATAACATAACTTTGACGTCATGCAGCGACATCTATCGTATACCAACTGAAAAAGTATGTTTTGCTCGTAAAACTGCCATCTATTTACTTAATTGGTCATTAATGACAAATATAACACTACTAAAAATAAAATCAGCTTGTTTCATTTTATTTTCAAGGCGATTAAGGTGCTCCGTTATTTTGCATTATTATATCTTAGGGTTTCCATGTTAAATGAAAAAATCATTGGTACCCTTTTCTATTACTAGATGTCAGTGCCAGTTGTGTTTACTATTTTCGTAAAAAATCCCTTCGTGTGCACTTCTTTGGCGTTAACTTACCGGTAAAACAATAATAATCATTTGTTTTATTACGCACTATTTACGTGTAATAAAACAATCTATTGTTAACGTTCCACATTATCTTGCTTTTTAAACGATGTAAAATTGCCAACAAAACTTTTTTTGCAATCAAAATTTTGACCCGAATAGTGAGTAGGAAGCTACTAGCTACTTACTACTTTGAACACTAAACAAATTTTCTTACCAGTTACTCGTAATTTCTCAGAAAGCTTGAATTTAGTTCATCATCACCAGCTCACTATACGTCTCCACCGAGGGGCTCGGAGCCTACCCTAAATTAGGGTGACTAGGCCTTAATCAACCACGCTGGGACAGTGCGAGTTGGTTGACTTCCCACATATCTTTGAATTTCTTGCCGATATGTGCAGGTTGCATCACGATGTTCCTTCACCGTAAGAACGTCGGGTAAATTATGTACATTTGAAAATCATATTGATACGGCGGGATTCGAACCCAAGACCTGTAGATTACAAGTCAAGTGCTTAAACCACTGAGCGACCGACGCTTTTTGATTTAGTTGTTTCTCTTTAATTCAGGCTAATGTCAAGAATGTTAAAGTTTAACGAAAAGTATCTCAAATATTTACATTTGCATGTATATATAATCAGAGTAATTTATACATATGTAATCTAATCATAGTTCACGTATCTTTTTACCTTGACCGCCGTATAAAATAAATAAATAATAAAAAAAGATAATAATATGAAAGTGTCCTTAACCTAATTGTGGGTTTGTCTAAACACTTTCTGTACTACGCTATAAAAAGTAACAGAAGGTAAGGTAACTTTTTTAATTTTTTACAATAGCTAAGCGAGTTCTCTCATACCGTCATATACAGGTGCATGTTATCTTTCCCTATGGAGTGGGTAACGGGAAGGGGAGGGTATGGTCGCTGGTTTAACAATTACATTTAATGAAAATACAAGTTTTAAATATAGTAGAGGAGACAATAACATCTATTGCTTGAATAAGCATTGGTCGGTTCATCAAACAAACGTGAAGTTAGGCCTATTTTTTGTCCTTTTCTCTTTCCACCCTTTTCGTACAAGGAAAATAAAGGAAGGCGATGTATTTTTGAAAGGGAAGGGAGGCGTAGGTAGGTTTGGGGTAGAATATTGCCAGATTCCTTGATATTAAACATTTAGTTTTAATTGATTTTGATCTTTTAAATATATCGTGTCATTGACTCCTGTTTTAAAATAAAAACGATCTGTACGTATGTCGGTAGTTTTAAATTGTCTGGGAAACATATAATTTATTTACTGAACGAGATTTTTAAATAATTTAACCTTGACATTAGCATGTTAATTGGTTAATTAAAATGTAATAAGTTAATATAGTCGATTTATCCTATTCGTTGCTTATTTATAGACCTATTTTATTAGCAAGATAATAATAACCTTTATGGATATAGGTATAGAGCTTGTCCCAACACTGGCTGATAGAGGCTCAGATAGCTTAAAATTGTGGTCACTGTTAGATAAGAGAATAAAATTCGTTTTCATCACATATTTTACACGTTGGATTATTATCGGCCGTTCATCATCACCAGCTCACTATACGTCCCCACCGAGGGGCTCGGAGCTTACCCTAATACGGGGTGACTAGGCCATAGTCAACCACGCTGGCCCACTTGCGGGTTGGTTGACTTTACACATATCTTTGAATTTCTTGCCGATATGTGCAGGTTGCATAACGATGTTTTCCTTCACCGTAAGAACGTCGGGTAAATTATGTGCATATGAAAATTCGAAACATCGAAAATCACATTGGTACATGGCGGGATTCGAACCCAAGAACTGTAGATTACAAGTCAAGTGTTCAAACCACTGACCCACCGACGCTCTTAGTAAAGTAAAAGTAGAGAATTTCAGCTTGACAATAACTATCTGAACCTAGGTCTTTAATGATGTCAAGATAGACTTATTTAAAATAGATTAGGACTGTCAAAGGTTTCCAACAAAATCCATAGACCACGTGGTTCGAAAAAGTCAATGCATTTTTCACATAGTTTGTAATCTCTGTTAATAGTAACATTAAAAAAATAAAAAAATAATACTTGAACAAGAAAAGGTAGGTAATAAAATACAAGTAAAATTAAGTCTTCTTAAAATAGCGTTATCTTACATTTTTCGTTAGAACTAAATATCATAGATTAAAACCAAGATAGGTCAATGAAACGTAAGCAACTAACTTAAATAGCGTAAAATCTACGCAAATGTAAGTATATTTGGTAACAAAGTTTTTGTGGAAAATACTTTTACTTTTTAGTTTTAGCATTATAATTCAGCCTTTTTAGTTTTTTTCTCAGAGTTAAATACCAATTAAGGTATACCTAGGTCAAATTAGTCGAGGAATTCAAAGAAAAATACTCATAATTCTAGATATAGATGATGCGGAGGCATGCAGTAAGTATGGACCGACAAGTTACTTATTGCGTATTGACTACATTCTGCCGACTCCTCCAGTACACAGCTTGTCCGACTGGTTGCTGGCGGCAGTGGAATGCGCTCCTCGGCAAATCACAACCCAAGCCACACAGCGACCATTTCGTGCCCTGGTTTAAGATATATCTATTTTTTTGAAAATATGATTAAATTACAGTCCAATTACGTTTTTTATATTTCTATTTTACACGTTTTCCTAATCAATCTCGACAGAGACTAGCCTATTCACTGGTGCACGTTGCTTTCAGGCCCAAATAAAGAATACTCGGACATAAGAGGGTGAGACGTGTCATTAATTTCTATGCACTTGTTCATCGGGGATGCGTGTGTACGTGTACGTGTGCGTGTGCGTGCAGCGCGCACGGTCATTACGCCGCGTTATTTGTTACGCTCAGGGCTGGGTCGGGCCCGGCCCTATCGGCCTCGAGTCCTGCGTTCCCTTCGGCCGGGCATTTGAATAGGTTCGCGCGTTGCGTAATG